GTTCTGAAAGAAACGTATTATTATTATTTAGGTCAGAACATATTTTTAATTAAGTTCTTTATTAACTCAAATTGTAAAACAAAAAAATATTTATAAAAGTTATTTTATCATTTTTATAGTGGGTATGTGAGGTCCTGATTTTGATATTACCGTTCTGCAGTGTTGCCATGTCTATGTAATCAGCGTAAAAAGAAATATTGTTGTTAAGTAGATTTTTAATACTTTTTAATTTAGTGACTTAATGAAGTCTCGAAAGTCCCGAGACTGAAATCATTAGTTTTTCTCAACTGAGCTGGAATACTTTAGCACACCTGATGAATTTCTCCATGTGCTTGTTGCATATCTTTGTTTTTTTTTTTAAATAAGTGTGCATTTGATCTCCTGACGGAAAGTGATGATGGGGTCGATGATGGAGCATGCATACCTAAATATTCACTTGTTCATGCTTATTCACTTGTTTTTGATGTCAAAGGCTTTTTAGCCGTAGCGCCATCTGTGAGAAAGCTAGGAGAGTGGTGTATTTAATTCTCGATTGCTACTGCAAACATTGGTACTATGTTCTCATGCGAACCATCCAAAAGTTCGTTTTGGTGAGATACAATCAGCGAGGTAAATAATATCGATAAGTCAGGCAATCACTCCAACTTTCAGATGCCGCAGGTGTCTTACATTATCAAAATAAGCTACAGTAGAGTGGCAATTAAATTGTGTTTTCATCGATGCCTGCGCGCCTTTGACAGTGCGACAACCAATCAACAAAATCAATCGACGCATGAAATCATCGTTAATGAGCACCACGTATTCGTCATTTTACAACGACACACGAACCTTATTTTCTTATCCCTTTGTTAAGCAATTAGCTTTGTATTACTGTTATGTGTTACTGTTTGTTAAACAAAGCATTAAAAGTTAATTAAAACAATTAGTACTACAAAGATAGAAGACTAAGAAAAACTGCTTCGATCCGGATGGATTCGAACCAGCGTCTTCAGCATACCGTCAGGGCTCCGTCACTTGCTCAAAGTTACGTGATAAGTGCCTACCACTGAGTGTACCGACGTCGACACATGCGCTCGTCTTCCGTTTATGAATATTTGGCTCCGTACTACTGCACACGGCGGACAACATAACTTTCCTCCATAACCTGTCTGAGCGCGTGCTTAGGTCCCTTTTTCCTCGTAGTGAGTGCCTGGTGTGATTAGTTACATTTAGCAATCGCTAAACATTTGAGAGCGGTTACACACGGCGAGTTTTAGCAGCTATGCAAACGCGACGCAATAGCGATACAGTCGCTAATTGTCTACGTAAACACGATACAGTCGCTAATCGTCTACGTAAAAGCGATGCAAGCGCGCGACTGCATCGATACAAACGCGCGATTGCATCGCTACACTTGGGAGTTATAGGCGGCGATCGCGTGTTTGTATTGATGCAGTCGCGCGTTTGCATCGATGCAATCGCGCGTTTGTATTAATGCAGTCGCGCGTTGTATCGATGCAGTCACGCGTTTACATCGACGCAATCGCGCGTTTCTATCGATGCAGTCGCGCGTTTGTATCGATGCATTCGCGCGTTTTCATCGATGCAGTCGTGCGTTTGTATCGTTGCAGTCGCGCGTTTGCATCGCTGTTAAAAGTCGCCGCGTGTAACCTAAAAATCTTGGAATTGTTATGTTTCATACAAACCTAGCTACGGAGGGTTACATAAATGTACCTGTTGAGCATTTCTCAACTGGTTCCATTTACAATAAAACGATTTGGAGACAATATCTGAACTGATCAAGCGGTTTGATCTAGAAGGAAACACATAAATAATGTCGCTATTAACACGGACGTGACGGTCATGAGTATCAACGTAGTGATAGCATCATTTGTCGTATAGGTGTTTGCGGTACTTTTGACGGTGGTTACAGTAAATAATTGGTGGTTACGGCAATGACTCCCTTGTATATGATTATTACTCTATTATAATTAAATCATATAATATGTATTTGCTGTAACCATCGTATTTAATTCTGTGATAGTTTTTCCGTTATAACCACCTAAGACCCAGCAAACTACAATGGGAAAAGCACTAAACGTTCAACAGTAAAATGTACTAATTATAATTAATTACTGCTTTCAGTTTTGAATGATAAACGTATTATTCTTTTTTTTTATATATGACAGACAGACGACACCATTCTACCAGATGTGAAATGTAAAATGGAATCCAAACGTGAAGGAACCTAGTGCAGTGTTGATATAATCATTGCCCTAGCCATCTCCACCCTGCATGCCTACAAGATGCCTCTTCACGCCTCGTTTGAAGGACCCCATATCGTAAGACGGAGGGAATACGTGCCCTGGAAGGGAGTTTTTTCCATTTCTCAACTCTGCGACAGAGCAAGGTGCCACCAAAACTTATAGTTCTAGATACCCTATGGTCATATCTATACAATATATAGCACTAAATTTGAAAAAAATATTTTCATTAATGTACACCGGGCGTTTACTTGATCATAGGAATAATATTGTTTAGATTTTAATCACTTCCACATTATTATGAACATTTTGGCATCGTTTCCAAGGTGAGGTGTTACTTCACACCGAGACAGTTGGTTCAGCTGTACCAAGCACAAGTCCGGTCGTGTATGGAGTACTGCTGCCACTTATGGGATGGGTCTGCTAAATACCTTGGATTCAATAGACAAGCGTACTAAGAGGCTTATAGGTGACTCGGAATTAGTAGAGGCGAAGCTGCAGAGCCTTGAACACTGGCGTAAAGTTGCCTGCTTATCGGTATTTTACAGGATATATCACGGGGAGTGTGCGATGGAATTACACGATTTAGTTCCGCCTTCCCCTTTCCATTATCGGGGGACTAGGTGGAGGCTTGGGTTCCACCCCTATGTTTTGGATGTTCCAAAGATTCACACGAAGCGTTACGCTTCCACATTCATATGGCGAACGGCTATGGAGTGGAATTCCCTGCCCGCTGATTTGTTCCCTGACCGTTATAACTAGGATCTTTTTAATGCAAGAGTGAATAGGCATTATTTAGGTGTGCATACTGCACTTCGACCTCATCGTCACTTTCTTATTAGGTGAGATAGGATGAAATGCGCATTTATTTTTTAACTAAAAAAAAATTGATGTACACAGTCTGAGGAGGTTAAAAAATTGTTTTTTAATTTTACTTTTTTTATTTTTAGAAATAAGTGCCATATTCGTAATGAACACCCCCAAATACAACGAAAATGATGCCCATTTTGCATATATTTGAAAAATATTCGTAATGAACACCCCCCAAATACTTTGAAAACGATGCCCAACTCGCCATTATTTGAAAATCGTGTCCGCCATCTTGGATTTAGAAATAAGTACCATATTCGTAATGAACACCCCCCAAATACTTTGAAAACGATGCCCAACTCGCCATTATTTGAAAAATCGTGCCCGCCATCTTGGATTTAAAAATAAGTGCCTTATTCGTAATGAATACTCTCAAATACCTCTAAAACGATACCCAACATGCCATTATTTGAAAAGTCGTGTCAAAAGTTTGAAAAGTCGAGGATTATTACAAGTTTAATAACCTCCTTTATTTCCTGAGATAATTTTTGCTCACAAAAACATAATCATACATCATATCTACACAAAAATTCTCTCCAATCACTGGACCAGTGCAAGGATTGCTGCTAGAAGCAATATCTCTCAAATTGTAAGTAAAATAAGTACCGTACAAATGTTTCATTAAACATTTACAAAGTAATTATATAGAAAAAAAACAAAAAATAGCAAAATATAAAAAATTAGATGACCTAGGTTCAAACTCCAGACATTCAGTATTCATGCTTTACACAAAGAGGACACTAGGATACCTATTTTTAGGTTTTTTTAGGCGTGAAACCTTTTCCTTTACGGAAAGAATTGAAAAAACAAGAACCATACCTTTGTATGTGTGTGTAACTGAGTTTCGAGCGGATAATAGATATTTTTATCTAATTGAAAGATTGTATGTGAAAAGTTATATGAATTTTAAATGTATCATGAATTCCTCCATTCGCGTATACAATAAAAGTATAACTTTTCCTGCCAATTATGCTAATATCGTAATAAATTTTTTAAAATTATTTCGACTTACCAACGCCATCTATTGGGTATTTGATTACATTAAACCGTGACGTTCCCCCTTAAATTCGAGCTGAGGTAGTATAGACTCTTAATTGATAAGGTGTTTATCACACAGATTATAATCCTTTAAAACAGTTATTTGTTATTGAATATTCCGGCTTAATGAATTTTTGAATTAAACAAGCGTTGCTTCCACAACCTGCCTTCAAACAGCGTGAAAAGGTTGTTCAAGTGTTCTGCCACTCGACCCAAGCAAAATGAACCGTGAAAAATTAAAATTCGAGCTGATGTAGTATCGACTCTGAATGCAATAAGCTAATTCGCCGTTGATTCGGCCTATCGGGCGTAGTAGGCGGCTTCCGTACGGTATGCGCGTTCCGTACAATGACGAGCTCAGAGAGTTGTAGCGCTTCAGATACCACACTTATTAACACGGAGCTGAGAAAATGAGAAAGCTTTTATAGACCGGCTTAATGCAATTACGTGTGCTGCCTCCCTTACCGACTCGGCTATGTTCGCTGAGGCGCACACGGATGGCTTCAACGTTATACTCTGGAAGCAGATAGCCTTCATGCGCAGTCCGTGGGACAGCGATGACAGCCTCCTCCAAGTCATTGGATCGATGTACATTATAATGTCAAACTTGACACCTGAGATTTAAATTCAACACTTTGCCCCTTACTATAACAAATGGGCAAAGTAAATGTGTAGAGTTTGAAGTGCTTTAACTGTACACATTCCTTGGCATCGCAAGACTGTACTTAGACAATTTGTTATTTTAATTCATATTATTTTTGTTGTTTTAGATACAGCCTGTGCAAGACTTATTCGTTACTTGGTATTAAAATCAAAACAAAACACTGAGGCTATATTCACTGTACTCACCAATAATAGTAGCCAAGATGATGAGCGCCAGGAACACAGAAGTGACGACCATGAGTACCAACGAAGTGACGTCATCAGGCGCCGTGGAGTTGCTGGCGGTGCCGTTGAAGGTGACGTTGCAGCCCCACGACACGGCGTCCTCCCACGAACAGTTGCCGTCAAACCACGTCGTTGGTGGATATGTAACTTCATCTGAAAGGAAGATTTTTAATTTAAATTGGGCATAATAGAAGATCAGGAAGAAACTACTCATGATGTTATGATTATATAATGTTCGGGTATGTCATATTATAGCAAATAGTGTGTGTGTGTTTTTTTATTTGTATAATATCAAGTGAAGGGACGGACAAGCGTGCGCCTGATGGTAAACTACACGCCTGTACACAGTTGCAGTGCCACTCAGAGCTTTTTTTTATATCAACTGAAGTAAATAGAA